TTATAAATTAATAATAGTATATGTATATATATGCAGTTATAATCGATATTAGGTGCTATAGAACAATTGCAAAACTTCATTTTTTATTGAGTGGAAATAAGAAAACAAAACATTACTTAACACTACAACAATTTAGAAAGCCTCATATTTGAGTTTTGAAAGTAAATCCTTAGCTGTTTATTTGCTAGTAGTTTCAAAGTATAGCCGCATTTAGGTATTATAATTTGAAGCGATTCGCTTTTAAATCTATTTTGGAATATCTTTACACTGTCATTAATAGGCATGCTATTATATACAAATTAAAGCAATGTACCTAATKAAAAATGAAAAAAGAAACGTTATTTTAAGTATCTAAATCGTGAAAGTTATAAGCGACAACAATTAAATTAATTGTCAGCGATTTTTAAAAACAGTGTAAAGAGTTTCAAAATATAAGTATGTGGAAAACCATTGTAATCATAAATTGTAAATGTTATATCACCTTTAGGGGGTTTAAAAGTAGAATATATCAAATGACAGAAAATACAAATAATTTTAATTAAGCTTTGAAATACAAAAGACTTAAGGCACAAACCTGATCGATTTATACAATACTAACTTGAATTGTGTTTGCATATTAATTGGTTTGTCTAGTTGTCTTTATGTTGAAATTAATAAAAATTTCTTAATATGTACTTTGATAATACTCGATGGCTCCTCTAAAATTATTAGTCATGGGGCAATGATATTTTTCCATAATAATTAAATATGTGCTGACGGCATCGTTCTTCAATGAAAAAGCTAACATGACTCAGAAATGGCTTACATCCTTATGTTGCCTCATTTGTCGGTCCCTTATACAAATTAGATGAAAGGAAATAACATGTAAAGGGAACTAATGTTAGGTATATTTAATGGTAATACGAGTACAAAACAATTTCTAAATTAAATAATGGTAGGAAAAAAGTTTGCTAGCCACTATGAAAAACACTTTTTAATATAATCGCAAAATTTATGTGAACATTTTAAATAATAATCGATTATTTTCGTTTACAAATAATATACATTACTATGCTAAATATTCCCATAAAATTCTAAAAAAAAACCGACATTTAAAGTTGATTTGAAAAACTTGCTATAAAATCAGATTATACAAACAGACTCCTCCATAGTGTTAATATTAAAAGACAAATATAACTAAATTTGTTTGTGCAACATAAACGAAATAATAATTTTTTACGTTAAAGAAATTGTTTATGAAAGGCGGTACAACCATTTTTATTTTAATGCTGATTGATGCAAAATACATAAAGGTAGTGTGACTTTGATAAATATATTCCAGACATTTCTCTTAAAGTAAAAATTCTATTGAAGTAACTYAGCCTGAATAACTTTTTTATGAACGATGTTTTTCACTGCTCTGAATGTGGAATACTGACAAACGTTTCTATAGCTGCTTTACAAAATAATAGGTATTAGCAGGTAGAAATAAAACATCTTTGAATCGATTTTTTCGTTATGTAGAATAGTTGATAACGGCACTCTTATTATGCTTGCTTTGGAAAGTCTTCATTTCACAAAATTAGCCAACACCAGCAGATATCCTGAAGCTCTCATCCATGTTTACTCACATTAAATAGTAAACAATAGATAGCAATTCATTTTCACTTATATCAAATCATCTAGTAATTTGTTATACTTAGGGAAATCAAAATTATCTGGACTGTGTTATCTGTAGTATAGCTGGCACATATGTAGGTATAGATCGAATTATACTTGTATAAAGGAGTTGAGTTATATTTTCGTTTTGAAAGAAACACGTTTGCAACAGTGTTAAATGAGCATTAAGATGAGATAAATAGAATGGTGCAATAATTTGTTAAAACGTTCATACATTTAGATGCTTACGTAAATAATTATATTTATAAATGTATGTAAACATATAAACGTACCACGCGCTTACGTTAATTCAGCCGCACAGTYTTAACAGTCTAATTTCCGTCAAAAAGCGATAAACTGATTGATAATAAAATAAAATAAAATTCATCAATTAATTTAAATAATAATACTAAATAAATAAAACGTATAATACATCAATTACAGTTCGTGGTACACAATTATAAATTTCTTCACTATTCATTCTTCCTTATGCAGGGAGCATTGAAAACGTATAGGTGGTGATAATGAGCTTTTAGTTCATATCATGTGAAATTTAACTATTATAGATTAGGATTAATTTTTATTTGAAGTTAACGTGAAATAATTCTAATTTTGTTCTTTTAAAAGGTGTTATTTTTTAAAAGGTTGTATTAACAGAAAACTTACCAATCGTAATTCTGTTACTGAAAACCCGTAGGTTGTAAAGCTGTTTAGTTACATAAAAAATATCGGATATACAGTTACATTTTCGTTAAGACTAAAAATGCACCTGATAGTAAAAATAAACAATAATATGTATGAAGATTAGAGCTGCTTTTAAATAAAAACTAAACTTAGCCTAGACAAAAAAGTGCTTTTATATAATGAGGTCCTAAAGTCAATGGATGACTGGCATTCAACTGTGGGGTACGACCTGTGCAACTACTATTGATTTAATACAAATGTACGTTCCTGCGATTCTCCTTAAAGATATATGCTTTCGTACTAAAGAGCAATGACTTCACCACCCAAACATCTCAACCATTTGCTTGAGCCTGTCTAGTTTTTAAATAGATTTAAGATTTTATAGCTTATTGTTAGGATTTAAAACAAAAAGTAGATCCAATAAAATAATAGTAAAAAAAAAAAGTTGGGCTTTAATAAAAAGCTGAAAAATGTTTCGTTACAAAAGCGACTTTAAAGAAAAAATACACATATTAAATAATAATGAATGAATACTTAAGTAACAAATTAAATTAATCTAACCTAAAAAAATATATTACTTATAATCCCGTATTTTCAAACCTTTTTGTACTTTTAGTAACTCCTCAAAATTATCTCACGAACAAWAATGGTATCGATTTGAACATATGGTATATATGTATTTTTTATAATTGTGTGGATAAGCAAAAATTCATAACGAAGCCATACAAATAGGTAATAAAATAAAAATATTAATCCAATTAGCACTTTAGTTAACGAGAAATAACAWATACAAAATGTGTGAGAGGCTACGAAAAAGTACTTGCCTTATATTACTTTTTGCTGTTTTGACTAAAACCAAAGATAATTTGCGTATTGCATTTGAGTGGAAGGAGATGGACTTTAAATATGAGAATGCCGAAGCACGTTGGACGGCAATTGAAAATCACGAGTTTCGGCCAGATAACGTTATACCTTTTGGGTTGGAAGTACATAGGTCACGAATGTATATTGCTTTGCCACGATGGCGAGACGGTGTACCAGCGTCATTGGCTTATTTTGATATCAATGGTGAGTCAGATAAAAAATACAGATTGAAGATGTTATACAAGGTTTGTTCAACATGTATTACAAATAGTGTATTTATTAATAAAGTATTTATCTACCATTTCATATTCATATTCATGAATATCATTAATATCGCCTTCAAAGTAATCACATCCAGATAGGTTAGATAGGAAAATCGCGATACTTTCTGTACAAACTTTTTAAATGGTAACAAAATCAGAATACAAGTTGCCACTGATTTACTACTTATTTGCAAATTGGTTAGTATGCCTTTTGTTCTAACTCTTGTTCATTTTAGCGGGCGTTGCCACACTTAGTCTAGAGGTCATTCGTTCTAACTCTTGTTCATTTATCCGTAGCAGGCTTTACCACAATTAAATTTTATAGTTTAAAACTATTTGACTAAATAGCGACCTATTATATTACAAGAAGCGAATCTCATTTAGAAATGAACAAAATCGAATAAGAAATTTGTCATGATTTCGTACGATTGATTTTAGACTAGATATGTATTATATATACATACGTATACTAATGTACCGGAAAGGATTCGGAGATGTTGATAAGAATCTTGCTGGAGAATTTTCGTTATAGCTGAGGTTCGTTTCCAATAATTTAGGAGTATGAAGAAAGATATTTGTACATATTTACTATACTATAATTTAATATGAAACGAAAAATGAATGAATTCCGTTGACATTCAAAGTGAAATATTTTCATATTTCCTTGTATTTTGCAGATGCCTTCCTATAATTTTCATTGTGCGGCTTTACTCGAACTTAAATTTTCTTCTGGGATTAATACTGAACGAAAAACCCCTCGGATAAAAATATGAGATTTTTTATAAAAGAAATTTTATTTACTTACGCGGAAGAAATTTTGTATTTAAAAGAGCAGAAATTAATTCAAACATAAAGAGCGCATAGAATTAAATTAGTTTTGTATTGCAAAAATATGAATATTGTGATATGTGACAATAATTTATAAAAAATTAGATATTAATGTATGAAAGTCGGACAATTCAAAACGATTTCGTATTTTACTAAATCCATTTATCTTACCAAATTATGTATTTTGTCAATAAGCATAAAAAATCTTAAATGTGGAGTGGTACATATATTCTATATGTATGTATGCACATCTTCATTTTCGATGATATTTGACAGAATTACAATGGTAAAATTTCCTACAAAAATGTTATATAAAGTAGAGGCTTAGAGAAAGTCTTATTTACACTCTCGCAACAAAGTTGCTAAGGAGAGTATTCTAGTTTTGTTCACATAACGGTTGTTTGTAAGAGTCAGATATAGGGTTATATATACCAAAGTAATCAGGGTGATCAGTAGAGTTGAAATCCGGATGTCTGTCTGGCCGTCCGTCTGTCCTTGCAAGCTGTAACTTGCGTAAAAATTAAGATATCATGATGAAACTTGGTACACGTATTTTTTGGCTCCATAAGAAGGTTAAGTTCGAAGATGGGCAAAATCGGCACGCCCACAAAATGGCGAAAACATATAAAGTGTCATAACTAAGCCATAAATAAAGATATTAAAGTGAAATTTGGCACAAAGGATCGCATTAGGGAAGGGCATATTTGGACGTAATTTTTTTTTTTTTAAAGTGGGCGTGGCTCCGCCCCCTACTAAGTTTTTTGTACACATCTCGGAAACTACTATAGCCATGTCAACCAAACTCTATAGGGTCGTTTCCTTCATTTCCATATACAGTTCAAAAATGGAAGAAATCGGATAATAACCACGCCCACTTCCCATACAAAGGTTATGTTGAAAATCACTAAAAGTGTGTTAACCGACTAACAAAAAAGTCAGAAACACTAAATTTTACGGAAGAAATGGCAGAGGGAAGCTACACCCATGCTTTTTTTTAAATTTAAAATGGGCGTGGTGTCGCGCACTTATGGACCAAAAAACCATATCTCAGGAACTACTCAACCGATTTCAACGAAATTTCGTATATGATATTTTCTTAACACTCTGATGACATGCACGAAATATTGGCGAAATCGGTTCACAACCACGCTTTCTTCCAATATAACGCTATTTTGAATTCCATCTGATGCCTTCTCTGTATAATATATACATTAGGAACCATTGATGATAGCGGAATAAAACTTTACACAAATACGATATTTGAGCTGCGGTACCCCTGGTGGAAAAATTGTCGTGATCGGACTATAAATTTTCAATACAATTAAAATAAATGAAAATACAATTCAATACTCAAAGTACCCAAATTGATCTAATCTAATTAATTTTACAGGAAAATAAAAAAATATGTACTGTAAATGACGGATAATGAAATCCCGCTTATCACTTTATCATGCGAGAGTATAAAATGTTCGGTGACACCCGAACTTAGCCCTTCCTTACTTGTTTTATAAATGATATGTGTGTGAAATACAACAATTAACAAATTGAAATAATAAAGACCGGTTCAAGCAGTACCGAATCAGCTACAATTTTTACAATCATATACATGAAAGGGTTATATATGTACATGTATCTATATATTTTGTAACTTCTTAGTCATAGTCTGTTCATTTGGCAGTTTCCAATACTTGCTTTGATTTATTGCTAACATTTTTCTAAAGTCATGCACCTTTTCGGCCAAACGGCAAAAATTATATTCAAAGTAATGAAAGCAAATATTCTTTCTAACTTGTTTGTTGCGAAAACAAGACCTGGATTATTTCTGTATGAGTATATGTGCATACATATATGTGTTCGAATTTAGAATGTTTAGAATTAAAAGAAACCAGTTTAACGTCCATATTTGCTATTATATTGTGTTCAAGGTAAAATTTGTCTTTTCAAATTATATGACGCAGAATATTAGTGTGTCTTATCTACTCTCTAAATTTTAACGATCGAGCAGCGTCTAAACTAATATTATATTTGTTTTCCATATTCAACGGGCTATGAGCAATCAGTTAATTTCTGCACATTAGTTGGGCTTCGTAAAATATCATTTAATAAAGCTAAATACTCTGTATATGTATATACATACATATTTATATTATTAATGTGTAGTCGTGTGTTTAGCTTAATCAATTAAAATTAAAATTACTAAAATCAAAAATTTTAATTAAAAAGGCCTTAAAGTCTAGTATATTATTCACTAATAACTGTGTTATAATTTCAGAAAAATCTACAAAATCACCATTACTCATTCCTTTCCCTAGTTGGGAGGCACATAATCTTGCCGACTCGGATCCAGAGCTTGTTTCTCCATTTCGAATTCGAGCTGATCGCTGTGGCCGACTATGGGTATTAGACTCACGTATTGCAGGCGTTTTAGAGAATACAACTATATTTGGAACTGCCCAGTTATTAGTTTATGATTTGCACAATGATAATCTTTTACGTCGCTACAAATTTCCCAACAGTCATATGAAACAAGGCTCCTTCTTCGCAAATTTAGCAGTAGAGGACTTTAATTGCGAATTTTCTTTTGCCTATGCTGCTGATTTAGGTGCCCCTGGTCTAATAGTTTATTCATGGGCACAAGATGATTCATGGCGTGTACAGCACAATTTCTTTCATCCTGATCCATTAGCAGGAAATTACAGTATAGATGGTATAGAATTTCAATGGGATGATGGTTTGTATGGTTTGGCCCTATCTAAACCACAGGAAGATGGCTATGCTATACTATACTTTCATCCGCTCAGCTCTACAACTGAGTTTTCAGTTAGTACAAGTGTTCTTAGAAACAAAACATTAGCTAGTTCTGGTGAAATCTACCATAACTTCAAAGTTTTAGGAGCGCGTAGTTCAAATGGACAAGCAGGTGCAGCATTTATAGACCCACGTACCGAAGTATTGTTTTATACTTTACCAAATCTAAATGCTTTGGACTGTTGGAGTACAACTAATACAGATTATTCTACCGATACTCAGGGGCGTGTTTATATGAGTGCGCAAGAATTCGTATTTCCTAGCGAAGTAAAGGTCGATACGGAAGATAGATTATGGGTACTTTCGAATAAATTGCAAGAATTCATTTATGATGAGCTCTATCCTGGCAGAGTAAATTACCGTATTTTTACTGCGAATGTATTGGATGCAATCGCAAATACTGTATGCGATACCAAAATGAAACCGCTACCAGAAATAGGTAAAACTGAATTAGATACGATACTGGACACAATGATAAACTCTACGAAAGAGATATCTGCTTCAGGTGTGGTAACTAAAAGTTTAAGCGGAATCATCGTACTCATAGCCGCGTATTTACTGATATTAGTATGATTTTTAATACAATCTAGGTAGTTTAAGCCCAAATAATGTTATTTTGTATGTAATAATAGAAAACTAAATATTTAGTATTGAAGAATTTTATTAAATTTCTTTTATAACTTTTGTAAAATATCTCCTTATTAATTGAGTATAGAAAATGTTGAAGATACATTTTAAATTGGAACTACTTGTATTTTGATAACATTATTTTTATTGGGAATGTCAAAATAGTGCATTTGGTGTAAAATTTTAATACCTTACGTATTTTAAAAACGAACAATAACGTATTTTTAATTTGTACTTTTTGTACATATATTTATACGCAATGACTTTCCCTTGAATTGATTAAAAGATTTTTTTATTTAATACATTCATATTATTATTAAATTAACCATATTTCGTGCAAATTTTTGGGTCATTAAAAATTTGGTGTCACAACAACAAGACCATATACTCCACTTTTGCATGACATTAGCGTAATATATGGAATACTTGCGGAAACATATTTTCGAAACTTTTTTTAGCGATTTAAATAGGAGATTATTTGAATACCTCATCAATATGGTATAATCCCTTTAATCAATCAGTGAGGGATTACGCCTAGGCCTGGGTCTCATTTAGGAGGCGTTAAAATTGGTTATAATATTTTTGTGTTTACTATGAACGATGGTTGGTGTGATGTAAAAGTCTCAGATGACCTAGATTATACCGTACTGGTACCATATTAGTGACTAGAATCCGAGCCCCACTGGTTTTCAAGTTCCCAAAATCAGAGATGTGCAGGAAATGGCCACTTTCCGAGAAATATGTGAGTCGATGGGGTTACTGGAAGACGATGGCCACTGGGATGACGCTATGTTGTGCAGGTCAGTGCAAACATTTGAAGAGCTCTTTGCGATTATGATAAGCACCTGCAGATTCTCAAACCCCGGAAATTGTAGGACAAGTATAAAAATGCTTTGGCAGAAGACATTGCTCGCCGAAAACAAAGGATAATACGAGCCAATGATGACATAATTTATATGAAAGCGCTGAAACTTATTGAGGTTGAATTTTTGGGATGGTTGGAAAATTAATTAAGAACGCAAGAGCTGCCCACTGATTTCTTGATTTGGTTATGATACTGTGGCTATGGGAGTTCAAGTCAATCAAACAGTCCCCTTGTTATTTTCAGAACAATAGGAAATTATCAATTTAAAAACTAACCGCCTACGTTGCCTACATGGCCATTGGAAAAACTTACTTGCTGAACTTGCTGCTGATAAAGTGGTTGCGCTGGCTGTTGTGTCGTCCGGAATAGCCGCAACCTTACTAAGAGATAGCAGAACCGCAYACCCAGTGTTCAATATTACACTGAATCTTGCCAATGAAGATACGTCCAAATTAGGATAATGCGGTAGTGCAAATTGATGGTTTGGGACGAATGYACAAACTCGCACAAGCCAGTGATTGAGAAGCACTGGGCCGGGACAATCGAATCTTGTTGGGTGGAGCTGGTTGATATAAGCTGGTTTCAGAGTGAGGACCTACTACTGCGATCAAATTGAAAAGTGAATTTTGCCCCTTTCATTTATTTCAAGGTAATCCCCTCCGGCTGCAATAAACTTATACCAACGAATTTTCCAGTCATCATAGCACTTCGAAAAATCCTCCGTCGTGATGGCCATCAGAGCCTTCTTCGATTGAGCTTTTATATCAGCAATTGAGTCAAAATGGTGCATTGCCAGAAGTTACACGAAGGTAAGTCAGGCGAATATTGATATCCAGAATCCCTATAACATTCATAAGTTTTCCCTTCCAGTTCAGGCGCACACAATTTCTTTTAAAAATGGCTTTCTCTAGTGTAGTAAAATGATTTGTAGCTCTATTTGGCCCGATTAATATATAGTATGATATTTCAAAAATTACTAAAAGTACGATACATCTTTAAATAAATGTGCCAGAAAGATATCATTTTGTAACCGATATGGTACGACAGAGCCTTACGAGAGCTGTCGTCAAATTTGGACGATGAGCGTAGCTCTGCCCACATTTAGATGAAATCACATATCTCCGTAATATTCAATCAATTCGGTGGATAATATTGACATTTTTATATTACAGTTCAACAACAACCACGACTATTTACTTCCCATATAACATAATTTTAAATTCCATCTGATGCTCTCACTTTCTAGTTTATATATCAGGAAGCAATCAATGTACATATTTGGATAAAAAACAAGAAAAAACGTTAATTTCGGTTGCACCGAAGCTAAATACCCTTCACAGGTGCATTTATGTTAGTAACTATTTGTTCAGTTTGTATGGAGGCTGTCTGCTTTAGCAATCCGTTTAGAACAATTTTTTTGGATATTACATTGTTACCTTAAAAAATAATGTACACCAAATTTCGTGAATTTATATTGTCAAATGTGAAAGTTATCCATACAAGAACTTGATTCCAATCGTTTAGTTTGTATGGCAGCTATATGCTATAGTCCTCTGATCAGAAAAATTTGTAAGCAGATTACATTGTTGCTTTAAAAAAGAATCTATACCAAATTTCGTGAATATATCTTGTCAAATGTGAAAGTTTTCCATACAAGCACTTGATTCCGATCGTTCAGTTTGTATGGCAGCTATATGCTATAGTTAACCGATCTGAACAATTTATTCTGAAATTACATTGTTGTCCATTGTATGGCAGCTATATGCTATAGTTAATCGATCTGAACWATTTCTTCAGAGATTATATTGCTTCATTAGAAWATAATATATACCAAATTTCGTGAATATATATTGTCAAATGTGAATGTTGTCCGTACAAGAACATGATTCCGATCGTTCAGTTTGTATGGCAGCTATATGCTATAGTTAACCGATCTGAACAATTTATTCTGAAATTACATTGTTGTCCATTGTATGGCAGCTATATGCTATAGTTAATCGATCTGAACWATTTCTTCAGAGATTATATTGCTTCATTAGAAWATAATATATACCAAATTTCGTGAATATATATTGTCAAATGTGAATGTTGTCCGTACAAGAACATGATTCCGATCGTTCAGTTTGTATGGCAGCTATATGCTATAGTTAACCGATCTGAACAATTTATTCTGAAATTACATTGTTGTCCATACAAGCATTCGATTTCGATCATTCAGTTTGTATTGCAGCTATATGCCATAGTTAACCGATTTAAACAATTTATTCGGAGATTACATTATTGTCTTAGAAAATAATCTAATAATAAATTTTCCACACAAGCATTTGATTCCGATCGTTCAGTTTGTATGGCAGCTATATGTTATAATACAAATGAGCAGCTTCTTGAAAAGAAAATGACGTCTGCAGAATTTCAAAACGATATCTTGAAAACTGAGGGACTAGTTCGTATATATACAGACAGTTCTTATGTCTATTTATACTAACTAGTATGTTTACTTATTACTAATTAATAGTTTGTTTAGATACAGATATTTATTATATTATTTGTTTGGGTTTTTTACATATACATATATTGTTTTGACTTTTGACCGAAAATATCTTTGATATCAAAAATAGTTGATATTTCAACTTCCTAGCTAACTGCGGACATTATATAACAATTTATATAAAATTGTTTAGATTCATCCAACCCCTGTATGGATGGTTCGACTTCTCACTTTACCTCGCTTTCAAATGGATGGTTTTTGGCTATGCAGAGGATACTTGGGCTTAGACCAGAAGTCGTGAGATGCTTAAGCCATATATAAAATATTCGTTTTGGTCACTACCAAGTGAATGGCGCTAAGAGAACTTTTCTCACTTGCGTGAATATCTCCATCTTCCTAAACCAGACTAGAATGAATTAAAATATCTTCGAAATAAATTAGTCACAGATTATTTTCAGGATATGGAAATAAAAAGTTGCCTGGAAAATACGAAACATGTCAACAATAAATATATACATATGCTAGGCAGTGTATTTCATTCTCAAAATGTTTGAGATATTCGAATGTAAACATTGTTCTACGAATATTTTTGACAAAMCATTCCCACTACGAATTGTTCAATAGAGAGATACTTTTCCGGTTAAAAAAAAATTAAAACTTATTTTAGTCAAAGTATGGGTAAAGATAGAGGAAATTTTTGGCAATACTGCCCATTAAAGCTTATATATTCCAAGAAATAGATTACAGTGTTAAAGTTTATATTTTGCATGGACATTCGCCAGGAAAAAGATGCTTATAAATTGAACAATACATAATTTTAAGAAGAGAAGACTTAACTGTCGTAGACACCGCTTACGCGGTTATAGCCGAGTTAACAACAGCGCGCAATTGGATATTCCAAGCGAAGCCAGGTCCTTCTCCACTTGGTCCTTCCACCGGAGTGGAGGTCTTCCTCCCTCGGCGGGTACTGCGTCGAATACTTTCAGAGCTGGAGTGTTTTCGTCTATTCGAAAAACATGACGTAGGCAGCGTAGCCGCTGTCTTTTAATTCGCTGAACTATGTCAATGTCGTCGTATATCTCTATATATAGCTCATCGTTCCATCGCATGCAAAATTCGCCGCGGCCAACTTTCTTTCGAAAACTCGCAACGTCGACTCATGAGTTGTTGTCATCGTTCAAGCCTCTGCACCATATAGCAGGACGAGAATTATGAGCGACTTATAGAGTTTGGCTTTTGTTGCCTACTCAGTCCGAAGTAGCACCTGTTGGCAAGAGTTATCCTGCGTTGGATTTCCTGGCTGACATTGTTGGTGGTGTTTATACCGGTTCCCAAATATACTAAATTATTTACAACTTTAAAGTTATGACTGTGACGTGAGAGCCAAGTCCCGAGTGCGACGATTGTTTTTTTTGATGACAGGAGATATTTCGTCTAGCCCTCGTTCACTGTCAGTTCAATATATTGAATATTTTCATATTGGTTCACCTCAAACAAAAAAAAAAAAAACATTTTGACACATTTTAATAGAAATCTTTAATATCTCCTTCTGAGTCAGCACAAGCATGCCAACGTTTAATATAGCTTTCTATACACTGGTTATAATTCTCCGTTGGGATAGTTTCAGTGTCTTTAGTAAATTTTGGTATTCGGTTTCGGCTCATGTTTGGAGCGCCAATCGAATGAAATAAACAATTTGTTCAGTGTTTGCTAAAACACTATGATTTTATATTGGTATAGCGATCGCAAATAAAACTACGTAAATATGAATTGTACTATATACTTATTTTTAAATTAAAATAAAAAGTAAAATTAAATTTAAAAAATGCTTAAGTGGTTGCAACTTCCGATTATTCCTTGAAACGACTGAACTTATAAAACTAAATCATGTTTTTAATATTTGAATTTAAAAATATTAGCATTTTAGCCTTTTGCATTAAATTGACTGGATATTCGTCGCTGCCAATTCGCAAAAGATCATAAATCTTTCGCAGAACCTTTCTCTCGAAAACTCATAATGCCGAGTCATCAGATGTTGGCAAGAGTTATTCTGAGTTGAATTTCGAGGCAGCCATTGTTGTTGGTGTTAATGCTGGTTCGAAGATAGGTGATGTGCTTGGAACCTATTTTCACGGATCTTTTCTGGTCAGATGTTRATTTTCCAGGTCTGAAGCCACTGTCATAATGTCCAATCAGTTTGTTGACGGTGGGCTTTAATCTTTCACACAATACGCTCGCTTATATGCGATGTTGATAAGGCTTCTCAGCCCACGRTAGGTGGCGCAGATTGTGGGGTCTCCTTTTTGTGAATTGGGCAGAGCATACTTAAATTCCAATCGCCGGGCATGCTTTGTCCGACCATTTTACAAAGAAGCTGATGTATGCTCTTTATCAGTTCTTCGTCGCCGTATTTGAATAGCATGGCCGGCATTCCAACAGTTCAAGCCGCTTTGCTGTTCTTTAGACGGGTAATTTCTATTCGAGCTTCTTTATGATCGGGCAATGGATAGGGGATCATGGATTGGGGAACTGGTTTCACCATATTCAGGTATTATGTTTTCACTGCTCTTCAGCACGTTGCAGAAGTGTTCCCTTCATAATTTCGGGTTCCAGGCATCGGTCACTAAATTACCATTGGGGTTCTACAAAAATATGCTCCGGTCTTGAAACCTTCTGTTAATCGCTGCATCTTTTAAAAGAATTTTCGAGCATCACTCTGTTGGTCAACTTGTTAATAATCGCTCAGTTTGGCCTTTCTCTTTTTTTTTTTGTCTGCAAATGGGTCTCGATTCCCTCTTCAAATGTCGGTATCTATGACATCCATCACGTATTGTGGTCGATTGTAACGTTGCGAGGTCACAGGAGAAATCCTGTGCGTTACGTCACTTCTCATTTACAGTCATATATAAGGAGCTTGAAATACCGTTCCACAGTTCTTTTATACCGCGCTGTTGAAGAGTACTCTAAGAGAGCAGAAAATCATTCGGCTGTTTGTTGTGATTGCAGTTTCTTGACCTTCCTTGTGTTTGTTGACGTGAGTTTTTAGCTGCACAGAGGCGGATACATAACTTCGCTCCAACAAGATGTTTCAATACTAGGACACATCTGAAACACTGGACACAACATGACCGATCTGATTGGTGGCTTTTCGATTCGGAGATAACCAGCTTGCTTGATGAATTTTCCTATCTAGTCCTATACATAACCGTATTTCGCGCCTTGGCGAAGTCGATCAGCCTCAACGAATTTGGAGATTTGAATTTTTTTTGGTCATAACGAGGCGAGGTTTTATTCCGTTATATTAATTACTTCTTGATTTGTGTGTCGGAAAGGAAAATAATCAAGGAATTTAAAATTATGCTATATGGCAAGTGGTTTCAGTCCGATTTCGTATCGTGTGATATGAAGAGAATGCTACTTATGTTCGGTCGGGTCCCTCGCTACTCGCATGTGGGCACTARTATACATAAATCTAAAAATTGTATGAATTATTTTATACAGTTTAAATGGATAGGTCCGAGTCAAGTTGGGTTACTTAGAACGAAACAACCAAATTATGTTCTATTTGTTTATGACGCTTTATTAGAGAGGCGGAGAAATGGATGTAAATTTGATAAGAACTTAAGTGCTGCTAAGTTTACTCAATGCGTAATACCACATACAAGCAACAGTTTTAGTTATTGAAAG